CCACGAGTTCCCACACGCTGTGCTTTCGTCCCTGTGTCCAGAGCCAGCAAGAAGTGCACTGTGCAGTCAGGCTGACAGGGGGATGCTCGAGGGGGGCATCGCTGCTGCTGCTGCATGGCCAAAATCCAGCTTCGTGCTTAGGCTTACCCACATGCTGAAACACTTTGGTAATTTGGAGTGGCACTATATCAGCCCTGGCACGAAGGAGACTTTCACAACTTCTCTAATGAACCTCTCACAGTCTTTCAATAATGCAGCTATTTATAGGCTAGGTCTATACTGAATAGATTGCAGAAGCTGCACAAAAGCTCACAGTGTTTCAGAAATGAAGCTGCAGAGAAACATCAGAGCAGACTGAAATCACTCAGTATGGTTACATACAATCAAATATAATCTGTGTTTTGCATGATTAGACTCAATGCTTAACTGAAAAGTTAATGGCATTTTAACCCATGCATGTAATTTTCTTAGAAGTGAGAGCTGTTTTTGTGAAGTACAAGAGTTTTCAAGTCTTAGACTAAGGGCTAAACCCTGCTCTTGCTCACAACATCAAATCCTAGGTGTGGCATCACTGAATTTTAACAGAATACCCCCAAGCAGTCAGAGCAGAAATTGGACATTATCAGAAACCATCTCAAACCATCTCATCTTTCTCTTACAAATTACTCCTTTTAGGCTTTAGCAAACATCCTGGGTCTTGCAGTTCCAGCATGTATCATGAAATGAAAAGATTAATTAAAAACTGTTCAACCAGTGCACTCATGAGAAAGCATTGCTGCTGTTCTTTTTATCACCCAAGCCCATTTCATCTTAAATGTTTCTGAGATGTGCAAGATGAAGGTAGCACAAAACAGCAGGACTTTGTGCATATGGCTTGCCTGAATCTTTCTTAGAAAAAATCAGAGAAAAAATTTGACTGCTTTGACCTTCCCAGACTTGTGTCTCTTTGACACTTGTTCATGAAGTCCCAGTAAACAGCAGATTTACACAAACATACTTTGCTTATGAATGTTATAAATCTTTTCCTGAATCTTAGGGGAGAATTGACATTCAATGCAGGTGTTGGAGTAAGCACTGCAGGCCTTTGGCTTTCACTACTGTGGCCAGAAGAGGCTTTAGTGACACCCTTTAGCACAGACTCCCAGCTCTCGCTACCTTCTGTGAGCTAAGGTTTTATCTCTCTAAAAGGAGCAGGGATTTCCTCTGCGGATTAGGAGGAGATAAAAACCCAAGACAGAGCTACTATTTCATTACATTACAAATCACAAGTGGATGAAAAAGACAGTGATTGCCTTTCCTTTTTCTCCTTTGGCAACTGATCCCTCTTTAGTGGCTCTGAAGAGAAATAAGGTCCCTCTTTTTTTTTGTGCAGGTCTCTAAGGACACAGGCCATAGATGGATTTACAAACTCAACGGCTACTGAGAGCTCCGGAATTCTATATTTATATGGCATTGAGACTCACAGTATTTCTTCTCAGTCCATTCCTGCTTCTGCAAGTGCACTGAGCAGGTCCTTGGTACAGGCATGGGAAAATCATGTAACCCCAGCCACCAGCAGTCTCAGTACCCTCATTAGTGCCAATGGGCCATCTTGAACTAGATTTTCCTGCACTGGTTTAGACTGTTGATACACCCCAGCCAGAGGAATTTCACATCCAGCCCTCTTCTGACTTTTGATCGATGAGGTTAGGCTAGGCATGTGGATCCAAACCGAAGTTCCCGTTGCAGTGGACTTGTATGAGTAGCCTAGAAATTCCCAGAGACCTCTGAACAGAACCATTAAACTATCCAACAGCAGCTCTTCTGACCCTGACACACCCAGATAGTTTTTTTTTTCCAGCTGCTTCATTAACTTTTGCTTCTGAACTGTGGGAAAATGAAGCAAGGCAAGACAAGACCTTGACCTGGTTGTGTAGCTTCATGGCCGGAAATCTGTTAGCGAAAAAGCCAATATTTCTGCTTTAAGTTTTATTTACAATTACACTGGTGGTACCTTGTCTAGAACTGCTGACTGTCTTAAAAAGAAACAATCTGGAAAGGATGACACATTTTGTCTCATGTAAGATACCGGTGCTCACCAGTAAAATTTGACAATATCAATAAACAATCAAAGATTTTATTTTCATATTATTAAGATGTTTAATTGTAGGTACAATACTAAGTTATAAATATGCTCTATGACAGAAAATAAAAGCAGCTTATCACTCACTGACTAGTTTAGAAACTCTTTTTTTTCCTGCTGGATTTAAAATTTCTGGTGAAATTGGTGAGGAGTGCACTCAGCACATCCTGTTAGCTGAGTCAATTGAAATTGCACCTGTTCTTGGATGCAAGTCCTAACAAACGCAACCCATATACATTGTAAAGAAAAGGGCTTGTATGCACTTTTTCCAATTAACATCTGCCTTTTGGCAAGTCATTAACCTATTTTCTCACAAAGAAACAGCTTCAATTGTATTATGCATCCGAAGCGTGCAAAAGTCCCTGAGGGGGTACTCTGACAAAAACATACTGTTCCTGGATCCAATGTGAACATACATATTCATTAATTGTTTGGGGCAATGAGTACAGAATTTCTGATTTTTACAAGTCCTACAAGGTAAACAGGTTACATAAAGCTACGTCCCTGGAAATAGCCACATCCTGGTCACTGTTGCTCAATAGAAAAATCAAGAGTGATTTTGTGCTGTGATATGGCAATTAAAATAATTCAGCAACACTGTAAAAAACCTTCTAGGAAGAAAAAAGAACATTGTTTACCCTAAAAATAGTACAGCATATTTATTTATTTATTTAAAGAGACATAAATAAAGATGGTTAAGTTGTATTTTTCAAATCTCTCATGCTATATGAATCTGTTCAGGACATCCTAAAATGGCAATGAGAACCTATTCTACCACCATTTTTCCAGCCAGAAGATTAATATGATCAAAATTTAAAACTACAGTTTAGATTCCTCACCATGAAGATGATAAGAACTAATTATTATCTTACATGTGTAAAAGCAAGAAACAACAATCCCCCAAAGACAAGGGAATTGTTCAGATGCATTCACCTCTGGGAACTGATTTTCCAAAACTCTAAATTTATAAAAAATATATCAATATCAAAAAATGAATGCTGAAGTAACAACTGGTAGCATATCTTTCCATTTGGAAGAGCATTTTTAGTTTGAAATGTCTGCTGAAGTACATTGCAATGAGCTGCTGAGCTACTGCACATCGTTTTGACACTTGAGGAATTTGAAGTTGGGTTTCTCCAGAGACAGTCTCCCAGCAACAACTATTCCTGCCACCACCTTCTCCCTCTCGACACACAAACCTTGGGAATCTACTACATGTCATTCTTTTTAGTAAGTAATTGAGCCATTTTTGCAGTAGCAGGCCTGAAAGCTGGAAGCAGTCTTTCTCCAGCAGGGGGGCCTGTTTATATTTAGTATCAGAGGGATAATTTAACCTGAGGGAAACTGTACTGCATCAGGTATATTGTTCAGCTTGTTTAGAACAAGTTTGGGCTATCAATACTTCAATCCAGTCTCCAATACAAACATAATTTTAATAATTTAAAGATCCATGCAATTATTTTTTCACATAGTGCAAAAACACAACTAAGACTAAACAGCAGTGATTTTCCTCTAGTTTTATAATTCAAACTAGTCAAGTACACTAGTTACTTCACAGAGTACAAACCCTAAAGTAAATGCTTCTGCGAGTTTAACAGCCTTGGCAGGTGCTTTTAAAGGAAGTATTCCTGTTCCAAAACTTTATTAGAAATTATATGGATGAAGAGAATAAGATAACTAGCCCACATCAATGTTTTTTGAAAAGAAGCATCACGTTAGATGGTTGTGGCTGTGTTCTAAGAAAGCCTTCACAGCTTGAGGAAAATACATCCATCCTGTTTTCAACCAACCATGACCAGACATCCTCCCAAGTGTTATCACATTGAGTTTCAGTACCAACAGAATGACAATAACATGTCTTAATTTGGGAATGTTATGTTGGTTCACCAGATGTGCAAACAACAGAGGAACAAACTGGATTAAATAGAAAATGCTCCAGATAATAGGTACTGAAAAGGTAGAGGGATTAGTAACAGGAGCTAAGGCAGAAGGGAAAATTTCAGCAGAGATTTTATTTAAAAATAAGGAAGTAAAAGAAATCTTATTGATAAATAATCCTGAAAAAACTCAAAAGAAAAATCTGCAGATTTAAGACATGTATATATATACACACAGTCCACCAAGAGAAAACAAGAAATAAGCAAAAATTTTAATAGCTACATGGTTTTGTGTCTTCTAATGGAGACAAGAAAAGGCAAAAACCATAAGCGTATTTGCAAATTCATAAAGTGAAGTACACTTGATCTAAAAGACAGCATTTACATAACTTTGTGTTATGTATAATTAGTAAAAACAATTGCATAATCAAAGGTCAGGCTGGAATACATATGACCATTCTTTAACAAAAAATCTGTGGTTAGGGTGCTGCCTAGAAACAGTTGCATCCAAAAATTTTGTAAGAAACTGCTTCTTTGCCATAACCAGTAGAGCTCAAGACTGAGCTGCAAATATGGAGTACCTATTGGTAAAAATCAGAGTTAACAAAGGGAGTGAGGTGGTATCTGGCTCTCTGAAGGTGGTTGCTGAGAGAGAAAATAAGTTATACAAGAAAAATTGACTGCACGTTTCCGTGGCCTGAGCTGCAGTCATATTTATACAGTGAGCCTGTGTACTAAAGCTGAGCTCTGCTGATGGTAATGAGGTTCAGCCTGGGAAATGGGCTTTATCTATATACAGTCAGTTGCAGAATTGGATTAAAGTGCTTCCCCATTTCAAGTGTCCTATTTTTCAACACACACGTAAAGTTACAGAAACGCATGATTACCTAGTTTTGACTGCGGATTTACAACAGGTGTTCTGCACTTGCCATTTAAAAACATAACAGATAGACATAAAGAAAATAAATGTTTTCCGTTAAAAAATAAGACCCAAAATCATCTTTCTAAGAATTGCATTTTTATTAAAAATAAAACCCAAATCATCACACACTGCAAAGTTTTTCCTGACTTATGTCTGCATTCACAATGCATTACTTGATGGGGTACATTCACAGCAAGCAAAGCTTGAGCACACGTGGGCATTCTTATAGGATAAGAATCTTTTGTATTTATGACCTAGATTTTGCATATTTTTGTGTTTGCTTCAAATATATTCTTCAGAAGTATAAAGCTGATTTTTATTTTTGTAAATATGAAAAGTGAATTTTGACGGGGATACGATAAGCAGAAGTGTTCAAGTGCATGAAAACTCATGTTTTGCAGCTGGATTCACACAGATGCAATTATAGCTTCAAAGTTTAAATGACTTAATTTCTGCATTTGTAACTAAAAGTTTTCACACTACATCTTCTTGCAATCATTACTAAAATGTTTAGAAGATACAGAATAGCACACTACTTTTTGGTAAAACACTTGAGAATATGTAAGGGACAAAGAACACCTCTGGCATTTTTGTACTGTCTTACTTAATTTAGGTGCTTAAGTAATGTTGTCTTAGCACAAAGAACATTATTTTCACAATCACTGACAGAGTTTAAAAATCTGCACAGTGGTAACCTGCATAATAACTGCTATTCATCTAAAAATACATGGTTAGTGCCTTACAAATACCTTGTTAGGTTGAAATAAGAGTTCTGGAATGTTCAATGGAAATTATTTAGAAAGTACTAGTTTTGATTGGGTTACACTTCATTGAATAGATAACCAGAATATCTGCTTGCTACCAATGTTTGAATTTTTTTTTAATTTCTTCCATTTTTATTACTTTCATATGATGTTTCTGCTTATAGCAAAATCCAGTGAAGAAACATTCCTTGTGATTTTATGAAACATACTCATCAACACAGTTCACTTTATTTTATTAGTTCTGTTTTCCCTTAAGTAACATTTTTTGCTGATCTTTTACGCATTCCTTCAATTTATCTTCCGTAGAAGTAAGACGTTGTTCCAGGATTGAAATAGTCTGCAAGGAGAATAATTTCAATTTGGTTTATATTATTCACACAGTATTATAAAAGCATGCAACATAAGAAAAGTAATTTGAACTCAACAGGAAAAAATACTTTAAGATAGCTTTTCCTTAGCTATTCCACTATTTACAACTTTATTTAAAAATTATGGCTTTGCCTCCATGGAGATTGTCCAAAGGCTTTTGTTTTCACAAAACATTTTCACTGAGAAAGAGAAATACATACATGTATAAGGTAAAGTACTCTGAAATACTACGTGAAAATTTGCATCCATATTCCAATAGAAAAACAGCCATCACTGTAACCACAAATGATACTTTCAAAAAACTAAAAAAAACTTTTAAGGCATCCCCAAGAAAAGGAAGTGAGGAGAAAATATACTATTACAAGGCATTTAGTCTCCATGATATTATTTTCAGCGGAAGAAGTATGTTTTTGGACCCAGGCTGGCAGTTTTTTTTACAACTTACTACACAAATAATTTACAACTCATGACTTGACTCAATACTTCCCAAATCTTGTTTCTTCCTACTTAACATATATATTGCAAAAGAACACAAAAAAAAAAAAAACCCTTAGCTGCTCTATTTTGAAGTGATTTAATGTCAATATATCACAGACTACAAAGAAGTATCTGAAAACATAAGGTAAATCTGGACTAAAAAGATGTATTGAGCACTTGCAAACAAGTGACTCAGAGTCACTGACTGAGACTGAGTATTTGTGCAGTTTCATTGGCACAAGGACTTACTGCACTGCTTGGATTCCTACCTAAGCCAACACCTCACACATGAAGTTGGGAAAGGGATTTAATGGTACATTGCCAATTTACTTTGTTCATCCCCTGTTGGTGTGTGATTGTTCCAGCTGGATTGTCTGCTAAACAACTGGCTCCTGACAAAACTCCCTAGATCTCACTACTCAAAACCAGCTATTCTCTTCACCCAGAATTAAAAATATAGCAACAATCTTTATGATTATGTACCAGGAAGCTTTCACTTTGGCAAACACAATACATGCAATCAATATTTTCTGAAAGGAAAACACCAAAACAGTCACTTGACTATACAGCTATTCAAAATAACCCCACAGTCTTTAATGTTCTGATTTATGAACATTATGAACATCCAGGGTACTGTTGCCCTTTGACAGCACTGTCAGTTTGCACTGCGAGCGTCACCTGTTATTGCATACTTACTAGAGTTAACATCTCCAGCTGCCCCACGATGTGGTCCAAAGCACAGTCCACGGAGGAGGAGATGCCTCTGGGCTGTCCCACAGCTGACCCACTCTCACTCTCTGCCTTCCTTTTTGAACTTCTTGCTGAGGAAGAAGCAGAGGGACTCGGCAGTTCTTCACTTTCACCAACACCCTTGAATACAGGAACATCATTTGAAGATTCAGCTGCCTTTGTCTTCATTTAAGTAGAACCACATCATTAGACAGACAGGATAGCCAAAAGTCAGGCTTTTCATTAAAAAATAACCTACACACACACATGCATATATATATATGCATTCACACAAGGACTCTCAGATTTGCTTTTTGTATCAGGTCCAATGCATAACACTTCAATTTGTTCTGACCTAATAATAAGGGCAATAAGGGAAATCTTAGCAGTCTTTATGTTTCAGGTACATGTGATTGAAGAGCTACGTGCTGTACCACTAGGGCTTGAATTAAAGCTTGAATAAATACAACTAATGAGGGGCATTTTCTTCAAAAAGATAGCTCTGACTGACAAAGAAATTCACTCAGAGTAGTCACATGGATGAAAAATCCATATGTGACTAAACAACCACAAGTGCTTCTTCCAACTTCATAGTATGAAACCTTTGTTTAGTATTAATTAACCTCTTATTTCAGCTTTAAAAGAAAGTAGTTTTCAGTTTGTTCAGTGATGGTACTTTTTGAAAAATTGATTCCTTCAGAAAATGGGAGAAGGAAACAACAGAGAAGATCCACACAATGCAACATTGAGAGAAATAACTTTGATGTGTAAACTTTGCTTCAGGCTAAATGAGAGAGCATGATCCTCCCCATCAATTTAGTTTTGTCTGTGCCTTGAAATTCTTAATGGTATTTTTGAGTCATGAAAGGTTAAATCATCACTAATTCATTATAAAGTCCTTCACAACAACTTTACCTGAGTAATTAATGACTTCTTGAGATTTCTGTGAAAATTTCTTATATCTTCAGACAATTTCAGTTTACTTATACACTAAAATAAATTGTTGTATTTCTAATTACATTTGATGTATCTATATTTACAAAATAAACCTTTTAAATGGTTACAACTAAACTATTTCTCTGGAATTTATTGATAGCCCACGAAAATATCCATTAGCTATGCAAAGGGGAAATATTAGTCTCACCTGATGTATTTAAAATACACAATATTTACAATGTGCCCAAAATATATTTATATTGTAAGGCTCAACAGATTTTCAAAAGAGAAGGTATTAAAATCTTGTCAAACATTAAAAAAAAATCTCCTAAGTCTCTAAAATAATCTTGTAGAATGTAAATTGCTAGCCAGAATTATTAGCAGACTTTTACAAGATCACCTAGGTACGTTGATGAGTTTCTGTCAAGAATGATTTACATGTAGTCGACCCTGCCTTTGAATCATGAAGGATCAGAGACTGATGGATTGAACACTGCAACGATGATAATGTAACTATTTTAAATTTAAGTAATACTAAATCATATCAATATTATTGTGAACTTATACTGCTACATTATCCACAATAACATTCCTGTGTCTTCAGTGCCATCCTGCACAGTCCTGTGTGGTGGGAAGCAGCTGAAAGCAGAGACTGTGGTAAGAGAGCAAAGAAGAAAGTCTTACAAGCCTCTCTGGGTTAAAAGTTCCATTGTACAGTCACATTCTGCAAGGACAGGTCCCGAGCTCCCAAGCAAGAACCCATGAAGTGCAGAGCATGATGTTAGTAGAGACAGGGGCACACACCCAGGGATGGATTTCACACCTTTACTGACAATGCTACAAAGCCAGAGAGAACCCATCTCAAGGTTTGATAGCGCCATGGTATTCACTGACATCACTTCCACTGATTTCTTTCATTGTTGCATTGCCAATAAAGGTCTGAAGTAAGAGAGATTATTTCAACCCAAGGAGGAAAGCTATCAATTCAGTAAAGAGAGCAAATGCTAAGCTACTGAAAGTCTTACCACTTTTTTCCTACAGTAAAATTGATCCAAACTTCAATATATCAGAAAAATAGACTGTGAAAGAATGTTTTGTATCTCAGTAAACTGCCACCAGCATTGCAAGTCATAGTAATGGAAAAGTCCTCTTATAATTTAGTGGGTTAAGCAGCAAATTGAGATTTTTCGGTTACATATTCAAAGACTTAGAAGCACAATACAACATAAAAGCATTTACAGAAGTAAAGCAAAGACCTTGATGTTTGTCAAAACTCAAACAAGATAAGCAAATAATTGAGCTTTCAAAATTTGTAAGGGAAATGAAAAAAGACAATTTCAAATTTTCAACTTATCTAACTTGTGTCCAAAATGATTATTTTTATCATATTCTGGAAATTTACAGATACTTTTTTAAACACTGTCAGACATCAAGTATGTTGCTATAATTTTAAGGTTATCTGCTTTATATTTTAACATTTCCTAGTATCGAGCTTTACAATCTCCTCCAGCTCAGCCAAGGGTCCAAAATGGCTGAAATCTAACACGACACTCAAATGCCAAAACCTTGCTGCAAAGGAGTGACACTAGTCTCAAAAGATTTTCTTTACTTTTGGATACCAGTTAGTTCATGTCCAACACTTTCATTCAGCACAACATTTCACTTTAAATTAAGTTCCTTTTAAAGGAAGTCTTTCTACTCAAAGTCTATTTCAAATGAAAAGTGTCAAGAATTAAATGTTGTCTTTCCTTCAAATTAGCCCCATTTCAGAATTCAACAATTCTGTATGTCACCAGCAATGTAGTAAAAATGTCTCATATTAAAAAAACCCCAAACTATTCTAAGAGTCATCAGAGCTATAGCTTATTTTGAGAGAATAAATTTTAATAAGGCAATCAATTTTAAGTTGTTACTTCTGAGCAAAGCAAAGAAGAAAATTAAAATGTGTACTGTGTTTCCAATCACAGACCATTAGTAATAACATAAACTCACATTTGGGCAACTTCATGCAAGTTACAAATAAGGAGAAGAAGGAACAGATTTAATTAATCAATAGGAAGTTATTACCATGACATTACCAGCGGATGTTCAGCAGAAAATTAAATTTAGCTTATAAAATGATGTTTGTAACAGCAAACCATAATTGCTCATCTTTGTTTTCCGTCAAGCAAAATAGCCAAAACTCTGTGGGTGGTACTTGATCAATTTGTGAGAAATCCTTACACATAACCTTATCACCTCTGCCTGTTCCCAAACGTTTTCCCATGAAACATTCACACAGCCCATAGACACAAACACTGCATCCCAGTCTCCCTTTGCTTCATAACTATTAAGAATAGAATCTGAGTAAAATGCATCCATATATAAGGATGCCTGAGCAGTTTTATTTATAGAAATAAAAAAAAAAATCCCTCCAGGGAAATAAGAAAGAAAAAAATCCAAGTCTCTCACACAATTGCCTATCAACAGGCTTCCATCCTCTATGAGCTCCAAATTTGGAAACTACAGACCAGAGTTTCTAAAAGCATATCTTAGAGATCTTATAATTAAGATGGGCTTATAAAAAAGTGACATTGGTAAGCTTCCTAATGAATCACAAAAATTGGCATGGTCTGCTTTTTAAAAAGAAACCTTTAAATTTTGAACACATGGTACATTTGCCTACTACTAGTAAAATATTTCTGATACTGTGATTAAAACAACTACAAATAATTAGTCATTAGTAGGACATTAAGCTCAAACAGATCAAAGAGCAAAGGCATAACAGAGTAGTGTCCCACCTTATCAGATGTTGAATTCCTGTGTCTTTTGGTTATTTGAAATCATGGGAAATTTTCAGGAGAAATAGTACTATCGTTATCACTACTTTTTTCCTCCTCTTTTGAACCTACCCTCATATAAAAATGGTTCACTGTGGAAATGCTAAATTTAACCATTCAAGAGCTATTTTTTCTTTTTTTTGGGGGGGCTTTTTGGTGTTTTTTTTTTTTGGGTGGGGGTTTTTTTGTTTTTTTTTTTTTTTTTTTTTTTTTTTTTTTTTTTTGTTTGTTTGTGTGGATTTTTTTTTGGGTTTTTATTGTTGATTTTTAGAGGGTTGGGTTTTTTTGTAGGATATAATTACTCAAAGATCGCTTCGACTGCTTTGGAATTATTTTTTTCAGTCAATGAGTGATCCACATAAAACAGCTCTCTGATCTATTAGTCGAACACTGAGTATGTTAAATCACAATCTGTTTTATCAGCTCCTACTGAAGAAAACTTCCCTGTAGTTTCAGCTGATGACAGCACTCTTCATTTCCTCTCCTCTTGCACGCACATGAATCAGCACAGCAACAACTTGCCATGTGCCAACTGTGGCTTTCTGCCCCATGTCATCTGATGAGGTATCTCTGGAATCATTTATTTGCAAATTTTAATGAAGTTGTGCATTCAAGCAGTAAAATACAGATAAACTATGTGGTGCATCCAGAGCAAAGTTCTACTAAGCATTTCTAGCTTGAAGCTTGAACAGTCTGCTTTCAGAACTTGTAACACAGACTCGCACACTTCAATCAAAGTCTTTCATGTCATCTTACACATCAGAGTCTTTTCCAGCTTTTAAAAAAATGCCCAAGCTGAAATAAAAAATTTAAAGTGCACTTAACAGAAGTGCATCACATCCAGTCTGACATGGAAACACCTTGAAAGACCCCTGAAGGTAGCACACCCTTCAGTTTAGAGCCTGATCACGAGCAATGGTACCAGGTTACAAGTTCATGGCCAATAAAACATGCCAAACTATCAGACTTTAGCAAAACAGGCACTTCCACCTTAGGTGGAAGAGCATAACATTTTAAGTCTTGAAAATAGCAAATTCAAAGTTAACTGAGTTTATAGAGGCCAGAAGGCCAGTAAAAAGCAATGAGAACTCGTAGCTTACTTTGGTGGGTTTTTTTATTTAATTATCTGCACAAAAAAATTAACTGAAATCCTGATGCACATACAGCTATGGTCTGATTAATCAGATTTATTTATTTCTATCAGGATGACAGCTATATTGAATTTAGTAATCCTGTGACAGCATGAAATAATAAACTCCCCTGTCCATAGGCACATCTCAAGATATCCTGAAAGTTCTAGACAAAGAAATTACATCACATTTTACAAGCATCCTTTCACACACATAGTGAGAAACTGACTACATAGTTTTCTTATGTCATCTTTTCCCCAGAGTGCTGCTTCTGGTTTGAGAAAACCCGGCAAAACAG